ATAAAATAATAATAAAAATAAAATGGAAACCAAATGAAAATGGAAACTAAATGAAAAGAGAAAATAAGGAGAAACGAAAACTAAATAAAAAGAGAAAATAAGGAGAAACGGAAACTAAAGAAAAACGGAAACTAAAATGGGGTTTTTTAATATGATTGTAAATTTAAATGGAAATAAAAAATAAAATAAAATAAAAAATAATCAAATTAAAAGCAACCAACCGAAGAATTAGGATTCCAAGGATATCCATCATTGGACAAATAATTACCAAATCATGATTGATCTCAATTGAATCAGAATCCTTGTTTCCAATTGAGAACCTTCTCTAAGCGATCACTTAGCGTTTGGTCGAATACGACGCGTCTACTCGCGCAATCGCAGAGTATCAACCCGTTCGACTTGAGTTCATTAGATTAATCAACCTAACCATTAAATCTAATGTTAATCTCTTTCCTAAGAACGCAATCGCGTATCTCAGATTGAACACCCACAATCGCGCGATGCCAAACCGAGTTGGAAAGAGAAACAAATTTGGTTCAAAATGAGGCGCAGGTCCTCAGGATTCAACCATGGAATCCTCAAACCTTGGGTTGATTAAAGAAAAGAGGAGAGAGAAAAGATGAAAATTATATTAATTTCTAAACTGTAAAATTTAAACTTAAACGAAAGATATGTTCTCCACAAGTTCCCTACTCTCGCCCTTTTGACCCCTAATCAAGCTGGGCTTCGGGCTCTACAAATCCAACCCAAAATAAAAGGAAACAAAACAGAAGTAATGGCTCTGGGCCTCATGTACATTGGGTTCAAAAGTATAACTTAAGTCCAAACGTCAAAATAAATTTCCAGCAAAACAAGTCCATCTTGGGCTCCAGTTTCGACCATCTTCCCGTCCGAATTGGGCTTCAGTAGCTGAAATATCGATTGTAGCCCGATTTGTTAGCTGCAAAATGCAACAAGAATGGAGTCAATCGGACATTGAGATATGGTCAAAATATGAAAGTAGTGTAAATCTGGAAAATTATGACGTAAATCAATTAAACCCAATTAAAATCTAGAATTCTAATTTGACCCAAAAGACCTTTATTTAATTCAAATAAATCATAAAAATACCACCCAAGAATAATAAATAAGTGTAACAAAATATGTGTTATCACACATCCTCAGCCTACATAAACCCTCCTCCCTCCCCCTATTCCCCCCACCCCAGACTTCTCTCCCTCTCACTCTAACTCTCACTCTTTTCTTTTTCCCTCTCATTCTCTATCTCTCTCTACATTAGCAGGTTTAGTAATTTAAATATTATTTTTTTGCAATTTTTTAATGTTAGTTATTTGATTTTACTTATTTATAAGATGAAACCTTAGGTTAGAAGATTAATTTTATTATTGAGACAATCGGATAGAATATATATGTTAATGTTATTAGGTTTAGTATTTTATATTTATACATTATTTAATAATATTAATTGTTGAATATTATTTATAGGTAGAAAATTTAGGTTATAAGAATTTTATGTTAATCTTGTTAAATTTAGTATTAAATAATTTTTTAATTAAGAATTATTTAGTAATATTAATTGTGCCATTTTATTTAGTTATAGGTTGAAAACTTAGGTTAGAAGAATTTTATATTGATGTTGTTAAAGTTTGTATTTAATAATTTTTTGATTATGCATTATTTAATAATATTAATTGTGCCATATTATTTAGTTATAAGTTGAAAACTTAGGTTAGAAGAATTTTATATTAATGTTGTTAAAGCTTGTATTTAATAATTTATTGATTATACGTTATTTAATAATATTAATTGTGTCATCTTATTTATTTATAGGTAGACAACTTATGTTAGAAGAATTATTAATTTTTTCAGACCGTAGGTTAGAAGCTATGTATATTAATGTTGTTATTTCTTAGTGTTTAATATTTATTTATTTATGCATTATATAGTAATATTAATTTTTTGATATTTTTTAATTTATAGGTATAAACTTTAGGTTAGAAAAATTTTGTTTTTATTTTAATAATTACGATTTTAGGTCTCTTAGGTAATAGAATATGTTTAAAATATTGTTCTCATCTCTTACGATACCGTCTATGTTTACATATAATCTTATTGTAATTTATAAGGTTAAAATGTTGTAACTGTAATGTAACTTTTTTATACTGTTTGTGTAATATTTAGATAAAAAAAAATTAGTGAACAGTGACATTTTGGTCACTATTCCAAAAAATTATACACTCTGAAAATATAAAGCAAGATAGAGCCATTCATGTATATATTTTTAAAAGTAGAATGTCATATAAATAAGTATTTATTATCTATTTTTTTTCTGAATCCATGTTGTCTGTAATGCAATCGCATGCATCTTAATTGATCTGTAGCCCTTTAGTATTCAGTATAAGTATAACGCGAATGCAGCGGCTGGAATCGTTCAATTTTCGGTGCGAGCGGCAATAAAATTTTGTGGCTAATAAAATTATATATTTCTTTGAAATTATGGAGCAAGATAGATAGCAATATAATTCATGTGTATATATTTAAAAGTAGTATGTCATATGAATAAGTATTTAATATCAAAACTTTTATTCTGATCACTGAATCCGTACGTCTTTAATGCAATCGCATGCGTAGTGTAAGTGTAATTAACGCGGATGCAGCGACTGGTATCGTTCAATGTACCATTGGTTTTCGGTGCGAGCTGCTTGTTTTGCGCTAGAGTTTTTCAATGGGCGTCGTTTGTTCTTGTTGTACAAATTGGACTGTTACTGCACACGTAAGGAAATATGAACTTTTTTCACAAATAACTTTACACAAAAATATTTATGCAATTATTACAGATAAGTTATTTATATTTATTTTCAAAATGATATTATTTAGAGATTGAAAGATTAAAAATTATAGTTATAAAGACTATAATAATCTTGAAATAAATTAAAATTACAAAAATACCATAATTTTTGTCCAAAATGATGCTGTATAATAACTTATCTACGGTGACGGCAGAAAAAAAACAACCCATAACTTTATCATAGAAGGCACAACTCAACTTGTGTTTTTTTAAGTAATTTATTTTGAAATTAAAACTTTTTTTTATATTTATCTAAAAGGAGTTTTAAAAATAATTTATTTTATGGAATAAGATATTATGCCTATCTTTTTTAATATATATTTTAGTTACTCATCTCTAATATAGTTAGATTTAAAAAAAAAAAAATCAATATCATTAGATATAATCTCAATTAATCTTCACCATTTATCTCACCTCTTGAGATTCAAAATAATAATATCAAAAAGGAATATGTAGACTAGTCATAAAAAACGATAGATATAAATACTACTAATTAATTAGTTTATTATATGGGATTAGTGTGTCATAAGAAATAATTTTATTTCATACACACATTTTTCTCTTTTTTCTTTTCATATGGATCCACATAGTCCTTGCTATTTAATATGTATATAAGAAATAATTTTATCTCCTGAGATATATTAAACGCTTACTATATATCACATTATCTGATGAGAACAGTTTAGAGCCTTTTTTGAGTTTTTCTTCTTCTTGAAAAAGTTTTATGTTTTAAAAACGTTTATTACTTTTATCACCAATTTAATTATCGTTGATTTTTGTTAATTTAACGATTACAATTTATTGAACTTATTAGGAATTAATAATTAATTAATAAATGAAATCCAATAATTTTCAATAAATTATAATCGTTAGATTGACGAAAATCAACGTTAATTAAGTTAGTTGGAACGGTGATAAACTTTTGTGGTGGTAAGTATATCCTTCTCCTTTTTATATAATTGTTTATAAAATTTAGTCTGCATACTTTATTTTTAGAATAGAAAAATAAAAATACAATTCAGTTTTTTTTTCTTTTCTTTTCTTTATTTTAAGTAATTTTCTATCCTCAATTTAAACCACTATCGTCACGAACCTTGCCCCCAAAACCGCCTCCATCACCACTACTGTTAATAAAGTATCATGAATCAAATATTTAAAACTTTCTCAAAATAAAGTCTATCAAACAAGGTTTTTTATATTTTTGTTCTTTAAAATAATTTTCAAAAACAATTTTACTAAATAATGAAAAAAATCAAATATGACCTTAATTTCCTGTGAGACATCTACGTCTCTTTCTTTATCCCTCATTCTCTCCTTTTGAAAGAGAAAAAAAAAATACTGTTTTGTACTTTGCCTTCTATATATAATGTTTACACTGTTTTATTACAGGAAGAATATACTTACCACCAAAAAGTTTATCACATTTACAACTAATTTAATCACCATTGATTTTCGTCAATCTATCGGTTATAATTTATAGAAATTAATAATTAATTAATAAACACGACTCAATAATTTCTAATAAATTATAACTGTTAAATTGATGAAAATCAATGATGATTAGATTAATTGTAAAGATTATAAACTTTTTTGGTGACAAGTATATAATTCATTTTATTATATAAAAAAACTAATAATTAAATATGAATACCGCTTGAAATTTGAATGCAACGTGGCAGAAACCCTCTGCGAAAGAGTCGGCATAGGATGTCGGCCACGTGGAGAAATTTTATTTTCTAGTCGGAAAAGAATAGTTTGAGAGATAATACTTTATGAATGAAAAAATTTATGACTAATACTTTATGAATGAAAAATTTATGACTGGCTGCTATGCCTTTGTTGAGTGAGTTGGCGTTTAGAATTAGGACCTGAGATTAAATTGCATAGCAGTTTGAAGATGTGAGAGACAGTGTAGTGTGGTACGTGGGGGGGGGGGGGGGGGGGGGGACCTCAAGGATATCGGGGATGCAAAGTTGTGGGGGCCTCATTCTTTTCCAAACGTGGGTCCTACCTAAGAGAGTTTTGGTCCTTTTGGAGCTTCTGCTTTGTAATTGTAACTATAAATCAAAGCCAGGGGCTGTGTCTCTTCCCCCACACATACTCTCTCTCTCTCTCTCTCTCGATCTCTCCATTTCTATTATTCCTTTCTTTTCTTCTTTTTTTCTCCCTTCTTGTTATGCTCTGATCTATTGCTTCTCTGCTCCTTCATTTTGTTCTGTTCTTTCTCTTCAATAAAACCACGCAACTATAACAAATCATAATTAGTTTGCTTTACTCCTTCGGGATCCTTAAGGTTTAATATCTTACCTTTTCCTTAACATTCTCGGATTATGTATATGCCTACTCTGTATGCCTCGATAACATGATAACCGTTAGATTGGGTTTGTTCTGCAGCGAAGATGACTCAGCAGAATGTGGTAGTGTCCGAGACGAAATCTGGGATCAACTGGGCTATAACTGCTGCACAAAAGCCACCGGCGGGGCCAGGTGGGTACATTCTCATTCCAAGGAGGAGGATTTTGAAGAACCTTGAAATCAATGGAGGACAAAGAATCAATGCATGGATTGACTCCATGAAAGCCTCTTCTCCAACCCATGTCAAATCCACTCCTTCTTTGGCCGAAGAACAAAACTCTTGGATTGTGAGAACCATTCTCAGTCTCGTACATCTCATCAATCAATAAAAACTATACAAATTTTGAACAAGTAATGGATCTTGATTTTGCTCTAACGTATAAGCAACTTATGTTCTTTGTCAAACAGCTTCGCCACCCATCAGCATTAGACATGTTTGAGGAAATTATGGATTCATCGAAGGGAAAGAAAATTGTAATCTTCCTAGACTACGATGGTACCTTGTCGCCTATAGTAGAGGACCCCGACCGTGCTTTCATGTCGGATTCGGTTAGTGTACTAATGCTTACAATTATGTCATATCATATCATAAATATAATATATTGGTTGCTAACATATTCTAATGTCCCACATATCAGATGAGAAAAACAGTAAGGAAACTCGCAAGGTGTTTTCCCACTGCAATAGTTAGCGGCAGAAGCAGAGACAAGGTACACTTTCAATTTAAATTCTGCCCTTTTCATTCATTTTTTATTCTTTCAAAATGAAAAAAGGATTAAATTCATGTGTTATTTTGCAAACTATAGGTATACAATTTTGTTCGCCTGGCAGAGCTATATTATGCTGGAAGCCATGGTATGGATATTAAAGGCCCAACAAGAAGCTCAAAATACAACAAAGTGAGTGAACTAGTTATATAGTGTATTAGTAAGGCCGTAACGTTTTCTAATTCTAAGAAATATATTAATATTACATCGATTATGCTCTGCAGAACAATAAAGCAGAGGCAGTTCTTTTTCAACCTGCCAGTGAATTTCTTCCCATGATAGATGAGGTTCGTCAATTTTTCCCTTTACACGCCCTCCTCATCTTAATATATATTTTTATTTTAAAAATTATAATAAGTAAAAATAAACGTTTTTTTATTTTCTTTGTACCAATTTTCAGGTGTACCAACAATTAGTTGAGAAAACGAAATCAACTCCTGGAGCCAGGGTCGAGAACAACAAGTTCTGCGTGTCTGTTCATTTTCGCTGCGTCGATGAAAAGGTACATAAAACAAGCCATCCATGTTTTTGCTGCCACAAAATTCTTATTTAGATTATTGCTACTTTCGTGAAAAGAGTTTAACTCAGTCTCCAATGCACGATTCCCAGAAATGGAGTGAACTGGCACACCAAGTGAGATCAGTGTTAAAGGAATACCCGAAGCTTCGTCTTAGCCAAGGAAGAAAGGTGGGCCTTGGTTCTTTTGTTATCTTCTTTATCTCTCTGGTGGGGTATTTGATTCAGTTTGAAGGTGCCTCTGGGAGGAAGATTAAGAATAACAAATGAGAGATATCTCACATTTAATGCCATTTGTTTAATACAGGTACTAGAGATTCGTCCCACTATTAAATGGGACAAAGGGAAGGCCCTGGAATTTTTGTTAGAGTCACTCGGTGAGTTTTAATCTAATACATTCGATTTTGGTTCTTGGTTTTATCTGTCACAGTTAAACATGCAATATATATATATATATATATCATTGAACAAAATAATTTCACTAAGTCATGTATAAGTCACTACTCATGATCAGTTAGTTGTTGGATAACTCTTCCAAGTGTTTGACCATTTCAAACAATTAAGAGGAAACCCACGCCCTGTGGGATTAATTTATTCAATGAAGATTTTTTATATCTGTGGGATTCTCAATATATAGTAATTTTTTAATTATCCATCGATATCTAAATCATAAATCGTTTTCAACAGGATTTGCCAACTGTAATGATGTCTTTCCTGTTTATATTGGTGATGACAGAACCGATGAAGATGCATTCAAGGTATCCAATGATCTTAATTGATATATATATATATATTCCAATTGTTATTTCTCTAAAAAATTACTGCTCCGTTAATTTGGAGACCAAGTATGTTTGTTAGTTGATTGTCCGGGATAATTTGAACTAACTAATTGTTTTATTATAAGCAGAAATTAAGAGACAGAGGACAAGGTTTTGGTATTCTTGTCTCGAAATTTCCGAAGGAAACAACTGCATCATACTCTTTACAGGAACCCAATGAGGCAAGTATAATTTCATCTATTTTTGCACCGTTGTATTGTATTTGTATGCCTAAAATATATCTGTTTATTTATTTATTTATATATTTATTTTATGCAGGTTATGGACTTCCTTCAACGTTTGGTGGAGTGGAAACAAGTATCCCTGCGAGCACGTTCCTGGGTGTAAATGAATAGAATGACATTATACATACCTACGCTGCCGTAAAAATGAAATTCGCTAGGGTAGGATATAGGACCCTTTTTTTTCTCTGTTTTGTTCAGATTAGAACAAAGAACAAAAATGTATGGAAAAAAGAAAGAGAAAAGTGCCTTTCTGAGTTTGAAAGCAAGTCCGCGTTTCTGTAATTAGCCAAGTAGTACATGTAGTACAGGGAAAAGTCTATGTAACATCAGATTTAATTCTGATTAAATCCATGCTCTTCCTATTATAATTAAATATTTTAAGTTACGCGTATCAAAAAATGTATATTATAATTAAGTTCTCAGTCGTGACATGCTTAGTGTCTTACCATCTACTTTGGGAGCTCGTACGAACTTTATTTTATTTTATTTTATATAAATATGAATTGAATACATAAGTTAATATAATTTACCCAAACTCTTCACCAATGGATCAAAATTAGGGGGAAAATTTTAGTGTTCCAAGGCCCATGTGATTCTTTTATTCAGGAGGCAACATTTCCATAAATTTTTCTTTTTCATTTCTCTCTCCTCAATAGTTGGTGGATTTTGATTGATCGAACCATCGAAATTCTTCTCCAAATCTAGTTGCTTTGCTCGTACGAATTGGCTTCTTGTTTTGTGGTAAAGAGAACATTGAAAACACCGTCGTTAACACTGCTGCTTGTTCCAGAACTAAGAAAAAACTTGGCTGTACTTTTACGATACACTACATGGGCAAAGAACTAAATGGATTATGACATCTTGAATAAGCGTATGAAGTGATATTGTTTTGGCCTTTGGGAAAAGAAGTGTTCGTTTCACATCTATCATATCAGCTGATTTTATTATATTTTAGTTTTTAAAAAAAATATAGGAAGGGAGAAGAGGCATAAGTAAATCGAAGCTGCTCTTTTATTGGCAATTAATTGTTCAGCCTATAATGCTGTTTGTAATTCTTGATTTAATTGCAATAATTGGTTTCCTTCTCTGCTTTATATCTGGTTTCTTGGTGAAGGTTACACAAATATTAATAGACATTCTTCTTTTGGATAACAATTAATTATGCTAATTATATTTATTGTGGATAAAAGTCTATAATATTTGATTCATTGTATAGGCTATAATATGCACACCCATGTCAGAAAGAAAGCCTCTACCCCTACAATCATCCACTTGTATGGTGCTTAGGCCCACTGGTTATATGCAATAACAGGGAAAACGGAATTCCCATCTCAGTAAAATATCCTTAATGTTGAGATAAGATCATCATAACCATCAACGATCGGATACTTTAAGATTCGGGTAATATGACTAACAGGACCCCTTATGGACTGGTTTATTAGAATATTTCTATCCTGAATCTGAAGCTGACTCAAAAGTAATAGTTGTGGGCAAGAATTTTTTGGTGCTCAAAAATCTCAATCCTATGCTATGTCATTATTCAACGTGTGAATCAATGTTTCTTTGTCCATGCCTGATGCACTCCCACAGCTTTCGCTCTGTCATGCAGTATACTGACATTTCTACACTCCTTTTGAGCATTGGAAAATTACATCATGGATTCATATATTGCCATAAACCCAAACAGAGAGATAAGCTTCAGAAAAGGGACAAAAAATGGTATAGTCAGAAAGTTGAAAACCTCTTGTTACGCCACCAAGATGTCTGTACACTAAATATATATGTTCTTTGATTCTGTATCAATAATTGTTGAAGCAAGAGAATATTTAAGCAATGATTTAGAAATTTTGGTTAGTTTAGCTATAACACCAATAAAGAAAGATCTTTGATTGATTCTAAATCAATAATTTTTTACTATATATGTAGTATATATGTTGAATGTGAGCAAGTAGGCATTTACTGATTATTAATTTATATATAGATGGTAGGTTAGATAAAGTAGGCATTTACTGATTATTTATACATAGATGGAAGGTTAGATAATTAAGTTCTATAATCACATGCAACATGGCGATATATAAAATATGAAAGGAGGTTTCCAGTCCCATGCATAGAAAAGGAGTTTCATATTGAAAAATGAAACAGATGCTCATCTTTTCTAAAGGAAAGGGAAGAAAGGTTTTAGATATTTCCATTATAATTCTGTGTCCACTTTCTTGTGAACCAAATGCCTGCTTTGTTTAAGTAGAAACGTGAGGGGGCGCCATATATAATATTACATGGCCGAGTCTAATATAAAAATCTCAAACACTTACAAATCATGTGAAATGACCACAGATATTATACACATCCAAAAAGCTGTGCCCCGTGTTCTTGAAACAAGAAACATACACAAAAGCTACTAGTCCATAATGTAATGATCGAGACTGTAAGGTTATTGCTTAGATTCTGCGTGTTATGCACATAGCAAAGTTGGCAAAAGAAAAAGAAGAGATAAACAGGGACTGGCAGAATAATGGGTGCTTAAGTTCGAAGGAACCCACTTCTCTCTCTCTCTCTCTCTTTTGGGCCATGAAGTAACCCTCCTCTTCAGGTAGAAAGCGAATCTGCTAAATGAGAGAGGGCTTTCAAATTAAATTTTGTGTTTGTAATGAGGACGAGGAAGGTTAAACTTTTGGTTAGGTTAGTGAAAGTGAAACTCAACACTGGGTTAGGGAATCTATATGGTTGAATAAGGAGTTGGAATCCACTCAAAAGGAGATGTTTGATGTGAGGAATAACATAGATATTTGGAATAGAGACACCAACATGGCTCCAACCTTTGACAACACTCAGCTGTTAATTTGTGTCGGACGTGGAAAGATGAGTCCACCAGATTTATCTATGAATTAAACTAAGCTTTTTAAAGTTTCAATTATTGGCGAGAAGGAAAAGTCGAACACCATTTCTCTGCCAATTGTCTTCTTTCTTTTACACTAACCATAGCTTTGTAATATATTCCCCTTCTCCATCTCCTCTCATTGTACAATGTTCATTGGCTCGTGATCTTAGGTGGATAAAAAGAAAATGGGTAGAATATTTCTATTGAATATGCTCCCATTTTAATAAATTATTTTTTGAAAAAAACTACATATATTACTTTGAGGTAGCTGGCAGTCTCACTATTCACTCTTGGTCACCCATCATATAAGCTGCTCCTCTTGCTCCCACCAAACCCAACCTTGGAATTAAAAATTGTAAAAATTAATGCCGAAGTACTATAATCATGGGAACAAAATCTACAAGAGGATCATATCAAACCCATATATATGACCAATTATTGTAAATCCGGATCGCACGTTGTAATGGGACTCATAAAGAGCATGGTGAAGATTAGGAAATAATAGGAACCTCTTACCTTAATCTTTGGCATTGGCATTTAAGGTGTCAGAAGCTGTGTAGGTTATTAATGGTCCTTAAGTACACGTGTATGGTTCTTGACAAAGGAGAGATGCAAAGTTGTTACACGTGTGTTGGTTTGGGAAATCGGTCCCCACTTTGAGGGTCGAGCCCACAGAAGAGTGCTGCCATGGTTTTGTGTTAGGAATCCTAGAGCATGTAAATGTACATGCACTATATTGTATATTAGGAATAAATTAAGCTACAGAGTAGGTTTTATAGGTTGTGGAGTGAGGACTGCACTTGTTAGATACGCTAAACTCCTTGGCCACATGGGTCTCCATGTGACCCCAAGATGCCCTGGTATTGGGGAGCAAGGAAATAATAATGTTGTTTTTGTTGATGGGTCAGTACCGGTTATGAACTAGTTAACATGTTCTGAAGTCTGTCAGATACTTATGGTTGAGGTGGATTGGTGGTGTACCAATACCTTGTATCTCGTGCACGAAACATTTCTCTTACCCCCCCCTCCCCTCCTTCCCCTCTTATGACACGTGTTTGATTATAACATGAACAACGCATATATATATACAATGTTTCTCTACCCTTAACCACGAATAAATTTGAGAAGAGAAAACAAATCAAGTTAAACGGGAGCGTGGGGAGACCACCAACTCACGGTTTGGGAGAAAAAGAAAATGCATGTGTATATGCACTGTATTAATATTTGTGGTAATAATAAGCCCATAATTGATGGCAACAAGTGTGCTGATGCCATACTGTTTTCCGGGGACCACACATTTTTTTTCATCATAGTCTTAAGTAGCTACAATTACAACATGTTGCATAACACTCAAAACAGAAAATAAGGGATATCATTAAACAGGACTTGTATTTATTTTTTTCGTGGTAATATAACTTGTATCCTTTGTGATTGATAAAATTTGCATTTCTGCTGTGAAAGATCATCCAATTATCGTAACTCGGAATGATATTATATATTAAATATATAAACATATATATAATGGAACTGGATACAAATGTGAAGCCAAGAGGAGGGTTGAACAATAATTCCAAGGGAAAAGGAAAAAACATTGGACATGTTTGATTGATTGTGTTTTTTTCTTAAAATTATTTTGTAGAGTAATCAATGAAATGAGTGTTTCCTATATATATATATATATATATTTTAAAAAAATTAAAAATTAAAAATAATACAAAACAGAAATAACTTAAATATGTTCTTTAAATTTGATTCAAAAAATCAAGAAGTAGATATAATTTTCAATTTTTTTTTTTACAGAATAGATATAATCAAACAGATTTTTTTAAAGAAAAAATAAAAATTATTTTTAAAAACAGAATTTAAACATACTCATTATTCCAAGTTCGCTTCCGATCACTATCAATTATCCTTCTTAATTGAGAGAAGGGGGAAAAAAAAGTTTTTCCCAACTAATTATATGTGCTTGTTCTAGTAGTGCACATAACCAAAAAGGTATATAGGAGGTCCCTTTGCCAGAAGAAAGCAGGTCTATTTTAATTAAAGTTTTAATTAATAGCTCAACTTTCAAAATAATTACAGTAATTTAAACTTTAAAGTGCTCCCCCTTTTGCGATTTACTGGCCTGCCCGGAAGGAAACTAAATATTTCTTTATAATCAAAACTCCCCCACCTCATTTATGTGCTTTGGCCTACGGCCCTTTTCCTTTTTGTTTTTTCGAGTACACATACATGCAATTAAATTCATGCTTATAACTTATAAGTAACCACCAAAAAAAAAAAAAAAACATGCTCATAAGTTATAATGATGTTGATGCTTGCATTAAAAGAGGGTATAATGCTTTGGTGGTTTTTATTTTTTGGGATTACCATTATGAAATCAAATAATAACTAAAGAAATTACAACTTGTGAACAATGGTAGTAAATTTTAA